CAGAAGCCCAAAATGCAGGTGCAGACAGGCTCTGAGGGGGATCCCCAGCTTGCAGTGTTTGCCGCAGTCCTGGCGTCCTTTGGCTGGTGGCCACCTCACTCCAGTCTCTGCCTCCACTGTCACACGGCCTTCTCCTTGCCGGTCTCCCTATGGCTTCCCCTCTGCTCTTGGAGTTAGGGCTCACATGCTTAATCCAGGATGATTTTATCTCAAGGTCCTTCCCTTAATTCCATCGCCAAAGGTCCTGTTTGCAGATCAGTTTGTGTTCAGGATTGGTTCTGGTCCAAGACCCTGAATTCACCACCTCCAGGGACACCCCAAATCCAGCGCTGTTAACCAAGCAATTCCTCCTGAAGAAGAACTGAGGGCTGACTGAGCAGCTTCTGCACAACAGAGCTAGAGACCCTGCAGAGAGTGAACAGAGGAGGACATGACGGTGGAAGGACCCCCCACCCCCGGTGCTGTGAACTACTACCTTGAGCACATGCGTCCACCCCAGGGCACAGAAAAAAGCCACAGTTGAAAAGGTCAACTAGCTCATAAAAGAGACACCCTTAAAATTGTACCAGACTGTGGAGAGCTTCTGGAACTCTCTGGGGCTAGGGCTGGTGAGCGTCATGGCTTACGTTCCCCTGCCCCTTGATAGTGTGGATGGGAGCAGGGTCCAGGTGTCCTGACTGGCCTGCCGCCTCTCCTAGCCCAGGTCCCTGAGCCCACACCAGCCCCAGCCGCTCCAGAGAGGTGGCCCCTGCACCGTGCACACTGGGGCACCCCTGCACAGTGCTTACTGCATCCTGGAACACTCCAGACCCTCACCACCTTGGCTTCCTATGCCCTGCTCGGCTGCTCCAGGGCCTCCCAGCCACCCCACCAGGGCGCCCCCTGCCCTGAGCACCTGGGACATCCCGGCTTGCACCCACTCCACCGTCCGCTGTCTTGTCAGGATGCCCCCTGCATGGACAGTCCAGGGACCCCTCCCAGCCCGTGCCCACTTCAGCTATAGCAGTCCCGCCAGGGCACTCTGCACAGCCTGGAACACCCTGGCGGCCCCCGCCTCAGCTGTCCCGCCAGGGTGCCCCCTGCACAAGAGCCCAGAGCCTGCATCCTCCTGTGCTCGCTTCCCCGCACATACTGTCCTGTCAGGGTGCCCGCACGGGGGAGGTCCTGGGACCCCTCCGTTTGTAGCCACTTTAGCTCCAGCTGTCCTGCCAGAGTACCCTCTGCGTGGGGAGCCTCGGGGCTGTCCCTGCCCAGTACCGCTGGAGCTCTGGCCATCCCACAGGGCGGCCCGGCACGGAGAGCCCCACGACCCCCAGCCTTCACCAGCCACAATTCCATCCCGCCAGCCAGTCACCCGGCATGCATAATACCATTCCCTCAGGTTTAGGATTCATAAAAACACACAAAGTCCAGCAGGATGGGTCGACAGAGGACTGTGCTCCGGAAGAACAAGACACAACGTCGGTGGAAGAACGACCTGACGCAGAGGTAAGCAGTGTGCCTGAGGGAGAGTCTAACGGTCGTACAGATGCTCACTTGGTTGGAGGGAAGGGTGGGTGAACTCAGACCTTCAGCAGAGACAGGAAATGCAAAACAAAGCCAGTCGGGGCTGAAGAATACAGTGACAGAAATGGAGACCACGCCGAGGGGTCCACAGCAGACGAGAGGATGCAGAAGGATGGGTCAGGGATTAGGGAGACGGGGGACTGGAAAGCACCCAGGCTGAGCAGCAAGAAGAGGAAATGACGTCTGAAACGGAAGAGAGGGCGAGGGATGTCTTGGACGCGTCCAGCGAACAAACATTCCCGGTAGAGGAAGGGGAAGAGGTAGAGAAGGGGCACAAGACCTCTTTGAGGACCGATAAGGTGGCACAGGAACCGGGCTGAGCACGTAGACACGTTCTGAAGGGCCACTCGTCAGCCCCGTCCGTGGGACACACACCTGCTTCCGTACAGTGTGAGGCCCTGACTTCGGCAGTGGGGGTGGGGCGCCACGGCTTCCCGTCCTAAGCAAAATCCCAGGAAGGAGGAGAGATACACGTTCTCTCGAATGCCGTAAGTGTCTGTGGTACTCAGAAAAAAAATGGGCGCTTCAGAAGAAGTGGGGAGTCAGTGAGACGCAGGTGCAGCTCCAGACCGACGGGCTTCCTGGCCGAGCACGTGGCGTCGCCACGTGGTGGGAGCCACGGTGCGCTCACTGCGGGTGTCAGGGACATCCTCACCCTGCCTGGCGGGAGCTCATCCTGAGATGTTTGCCCCCGGACGAAGCCCTGTGGGGCTTACCTCAGAACAGTGAGGCGGCAGCGGGGCCGCAACGTGGGTGGGCAGAGGGATGACGTGAGGGTTGAGGTAAACAAGGCGCACCGCACCTGACTTCACTGTCTCACGGTGCTGGCGGCATTAAGTTGGTGCACGCCGTTGTGCGGCGGTCACCACGCCGTCCTCACCGCACACCCTGCAGCCCCGACGCTCCGTCCCCGTGAACGGCTCCAGGCTTCTTCCCAGCCCCAGCTCCCTCCACGCTGCTTTCTGACTCCACGAGTTCCCTCAGATTCTCAGAAGCACACAGACTTTGTCCTTTTACGACTGCTTGTTTCACTCGTATGGTGTCCTCCTGGTTCCCCCAAACTCTAGTGTGTGCCGGGATTCCCTTCTGTTTTGGGCTGGATGATGCCCCGTTGTGCGTGTGGACCACCTTCTGTTGTGCTCGTCCAGCCGTGTGCAGACAGGAGTGGCCCTCCGCTGCCAGGTGGCTGGGGGCGTGTGTGTCCGGTGCCTTGTGGGGACTCTGCTTTCAGCTCTTTCAGGGACCTGTCCAGAACTGGGACTGCTGGATCAGGTGGTGGTTCTGTGCTTAGTTTCTGGAGCAGTTGCTGCAAATACATGTTTTCTAAAGAGGCTGCCCTGCTGCGTTCCCACCAGCACAAGGGCTCCTGTATCCTCGCCAGCACTGGTTATTTTCCGGGCTCTTTATGGTAGGCGTCCTATGAGTTGGGAGCTGCCCACTCACCGTGGTTTGCATCTGTGTGTCCCTCGTGACCAGTGATGGGGAGCATCTTCTCATGTGCCTGGTGACCACCAGTGCCTCTTGCTCGGGGAAAATGTCTGTTCATTCTGCTCATTTTTAATCCAGTTGTTCGGTTTTGTTGTTGAAGTTCTGCTGACTTTTAAATCCGGGTTGGTGATGTTCTCACTCTTGAAACCAGATGTAATAAATAAGAGCATTTCCTATGAAACTCGGTTGCTCAGTGGCTTATGTGCACGTGAAGTGGAATGATGCTGTCAGCATCCAGCACTGTTGAAGTCATGGTTTTAAGTGTTGATTTTAATTTTGGAAGCATTTATTTTTCTTACCCACTTATATATATGTATGTTTTTACCTGACAGTATAAAAACCACTGAAGATACACTTTGTGGAAATGGCAACTAAGTTTCCGGAGAGTGGGCATTTTCTCTTAATTATCCGCGTGGACCATGTGGGGTGTCATGCCTGGTGTGGCCCTGGGGCCTGAGTCCGATGAGCACCTCACTGCCCACATGGCCACGCGGGTGGACTCCACGTTCTGTGCGCTAGCGTGGGGAGCCCCAGGGGCCACGCTCGCACCGTCTGTGATACACCTGCTGGAAGGACGCGGCTCCCACAGCCAGGCCTGCCGTGTGTCCGCGGGATGGAATGGGATGTTCCGCTGGCCGATGCGGGGGGTCAGAGGGCCTCCCCGAGGCAGGGTCTGGGTCGGGTCAGGGCCCGCCTACTCTGCCCCCTCGTCCTGCAGGCTGTCGCCTGTGTGGCAGCCGCTGCTGCTCTTCCTTGGTGTGCCCATGACTCTAGTTAGGAAAAGCTGAGCTTCCACATTCAGGATCAAGTCAATGACAGCCGACCCGTGTAAGACCGAGTGTGACACCCTGGGACCAGCCGTGTCCATGAGTTCCTTTCTGAGGCGCCCGCCACCGGATGGGATGCTCTGCATGTTTCTGTCAACACACTTGTGCCCGTCCTGCTGAGTGACCGCTGTTGTCAGAGCAGTCTGGTCTCCTGACGTGATGAATGGATTCCCCGGCACGTGGAGGAGCTGTCACCGCTTTCTTGTCGAGCGTGCTAGGAACCAGCAGCGCCAGCCCTCAGCCTCAGTGCCGGGCCCGGACCTCCGCCCACCGGCTCGCCACCTCTCCACGGAGCCTCCCCTGGATTCCAGACCAAAACCCACCCAGTGCCAGTGTGTTGAAAATAAAAATTGTGCACCTTTACCTTGGACGGGGTGGACTGCTGTATGCAGTTATTTTTTTTTAACTATAAATTACCTTTTAAAGAAAACGTCTTCAAGTTGTTGAGTTACTGCCTTAAATTCTGTTCCCTTATTTTAGCCAAAAAAAAAAAAGAAGGAAGAAAAAGAAAAATTGGGAAAGCTTTTAATTAGATGTATTTAAATAGGAAAATGAACATTTTCCTTCACCTGCCTTCAGTTAAGTGCCTTGACAGTTACCATTGTTTGGTTGTTGCTTCATAAGAAAGTGTTCCTATGCAGTGGTGGTTTTGGTTAAGTCTGAGCCTGGAGGGGATGCAGGGACTGTGGAATCAGGAATTGGCACGTCATGAGTCCACGTTGGGCCTCCTGTTCTCCCATGGCCTGCTCTCGAAGTGTTTGTAGTATTGTTTGTAATGTCTGTGTTGTAGTGAAGTCTCTGAAGTCTGAGCCTCCCTTGGTTGCACGTACCAGAACCCCTGGGAGAGTGTGATCGTGTTTCACACTACCTGGTCTGACATCCTCAAAAGAACCGGGGCAAATCTCAGATTCCTCACCGCAAACAACAGATGAGACATTAGCTTTGTAACCTCAGACTTGTGATATGCTGCTTTGAAAGTTACTGGTTGCTTTCAGAATTCAACACGATTTTTGTTTTGGTCTCCTGAATTGCAAACCAATATTATCTTTTTTTTATAAAAGAAAAGCCAAATGAAGATCTCCCTGTGAAAGTATTTAATAAAATGTGTCTTTATTTCAGTATCTTAAATAGTGACGATGAAGAAATATTCAGTAATGAAGAGCAGGAATACACATCCAAAAAGAGGAAAAAGGATCATTTTAGAAATGATACAGATACTCAATGTAAGATCATTTTTATTAACAATTTTATGGTATTTTACTTGTTTAATGTACTGATATACTGAATTGTTTTGACAATGCTATCTTAAGAGGTAAAGGACGATACGTGAGTGACAGTTCTCTCTGCCCACTGACTTGGTTATCAGACCGTTTGCAGCTTCACTATTTAGTTAGTAAGATCTGCAAAAACAAACAGTAGCAAAGCCCACAAAGCAATCGTGCATCTGGAATGACTGAAAAATGGTCGTGAGTTCAGTTACCAGTTCACTCCCAAGCAAGGAGGCTAGACGGCACTTGACTGGAATCCTGCCAGAGCTGGACTGGGAATGCAGGCCGGGTGGGGTAGGGAGCCTCCTGGCGGTGGCTCACCTGCGCGACAGGCCCCACTCCCCCCTGCGGCACAAGCAGGAGTCCTTGGCAGCGGTCCTAGGGTATTCAGCCTCCTGGAAAAGACAGGGTACTGTGGAGAAGAGAGTCGTCATGGTCCTTGAAGCTTTGGGACTGAGTTACATGAAAAAGACTGTAGTAGAAAAAGAAGAATTGTTAGGGTACCAGAATTAATGACTAATCACATTTTTATAGTCATGTTTTGATATTACTGCAGTTGTTCATAGAGCTAGTTTTCTTCTAAGTTGCAAAGATGTGGTGCTGTCTTAAGTCATTTTTCATGTAAAGATGTTTCAGCACCTCTTAAACTGATGTCGGGGAAACAAAGCCGTTCTGTTGACATTTAACCAAGTGATAGCATCTCTCATCTATATGATAAGTCAGATAATTTTGTTACCATTTACAACTGTTGAAGTTCCGTAAAAATCTTCATTTTAAATGATTTGCCAGATTTTAAAAACAAAGTTAATTTTTATTCTAGGTTTTTATCGTGAGAAATGGATCTATGTCCATAAAGAAAGCACAAGAGAAGTAAGTATTCTGTTATAATTAAGAGTATTCGGTGCTGTTTCTGTTGAATACGCAATGTCATATTAAATAAATTCTGTCTCTTGCAGTGTGAACTCTCTGGCTCACGTTCTAGCAGATGGAAACCTAGGATCTTTGAGGTGGTGATTCGTGTGTGCCTGTGTACGCGCGCAGGTGCGGTGTATGGTTGGTGCCCCCAATACCAATCTGAGGGCTGTTCAGAGCAAGGATTTGACATTTTCTCCCTCCATCTCCCCAGAAGCCTCTGGGGTTGTGGGCATGTGTCCTTGCTCTCGTGCGTTAGGGGCGCTGAGAACACGGGTGGCCCCCATTTAGAACTGCTGGGACATGGTGGTGAAGTCCGAACCTGTCCAGAGCAGTGCGAGCCCTCCTGCTCCTGGCTTCTGCCAAGTTGGCTGCAGCTTTTCTCGGAGCCATTCGCTTCGACTCTGCTTCCTTCTTCTGTGCTCAGTACCCAGCAGTGCTTCCTTCCTTTTGCAGCCTGAGAAACTTCCTTTGCCTTGTTTGCAGCAGTTGCAGAGCATAGTCTAGGAAGTGGTTGTTTGGCACAGGTGTAAGTTAGCCCTTCCAGAGGGTTACTGCTCGATGTTACGGTGTGGCCCCGCTCCCCAGAAGCTTAGGGGCTAGCTTCTGAGCCGGAAGACTGATTTGGCCTAGTTCGTGGTGGTTTGGGCTGCTGTGGGTTTGAGATCCCTCCCGGCTCACACACACGCTGAGCGAGACCCATCAGAGGAGCGCTTGACGGACTACTCAGTACTTCCTCTGCTCTGTGTTACCACACCCGTTACAGAGCAGAGACCCATTCGGAAGAGCATAAGCAGCAAAGGGAAACTTCTCATGAGTCTGCAGCAGTGTTGCGTGGGCCCTGCGGCAGGGACACAGCCAGACTCGGGAGGGTCTGGGCTCCCTGCACTCAGCTGCATCTCTGGGCTGAGCACCTGATATGGACCAGGTATCGCCACTGCTCGTCCGCGTGGCCCATTGGGGCTGCCCCACAGCCTCTGAGGTTCCACATGTGGTTCCAGGCCCCCCAAACGCAGGCAGGCTCGTGTGGCCCAAACAAGTGTTTTGCAGTCTGTAAATCAGATTTAATTCCCTAAAAAAGAAAAGGCCACTGTGGCATGGTTGGCTGCCTGGAAAGGGGTCTCTGTCTATACCAGTATTTAGAGTTCTGTTCATGGAGAAGATAGAAATGTCAGCGGTGATTGCCTTCAGATTATCATCTATAATTAACCTTTGCTTCCTCACAGCTCCCAGGAGAAGAGTTTGCATATAGTAGATACTCCTTAATAACATGTATTGTTTTAAAAACGTGTTTTGTTGGTTTGTGCACATATTAAGACTGTTCTTGGGATTTGGGCACAAAACCAAATCAACCTTCACGGGGCATCTTTGGTCTGAGACTTAGGTGTGCACTCCACCTGTTTTGCTAGCTCCTGTCCCGCCATCTGTTCGAGAGGCGAGGGTAATCTGTCACCACATGTTTCTAGGATTATCACCAGCTCGTCTAGCCCCACAACTGTGACTTGAAAATCTCTGTATACTCTGAAGATTTCAAATGCAGAAGCTCGAGTTTGAAATGACTCCTGACACCCAGTGTACAACCCTGTGCAAACCAGTGTAGACTGTAGGGCCCATCATGAGGGACACACAGCTGAAATAGATGGCAGGGTTTTCAGTACTGAAAACACGTCCCATGTGTTCATCTGTTCCCTGGGCTCTGGCTCCTGTGGGTCAGACGACCAGCTCCTGGGTGTCACTGCCAGGCATCCCCTCGGCTCCCCACCTGGAAACCACACATAGTCACCTCCCCCAGCCCTGGGCCCTGGGCCCTGGGCCTTGGTCCGGTGCGCAGGGCACCCTCCAGACCCGTGGGGTCTGCACAGGGCTCCCTGTAGAGGAATTGGGTGTTCCTAGAGGGCACATCTTCACAGTAGCCAGGCAGATGGTTTGTGCATCTGTAGATGCTTAGCCCAGAGCACATCCCATTGTGATTTCAGTTTCCCAGCTTGTCCACACAAGAGAAATCAACGAGATATTTAATAAGTATTTCTTTGTCATGTCCATAGTGCTGTAAGATGGCAGAGCATAGTGTCTTCACTATATGCGATTTATATTTAGCATTGCTATTTTACTCCATGCTAATCTAAACATGGAATAAATCATAAAAACAAATGCCCTTTGCAAAAATTTAAGAAAAAAATTGCACAGACATTAACTGTCACTTTATTTTGACTAATTGACTAATTATGGATTTCAACTGTCTTGTGTCTGTTTTTCCAGAGGCACGGCTATTGTACTTTGGGAGAGGCTTTTAATCGCTTAGACTTCTCAAGTGCAATTCAGGATATTCGAAGGTTCACCTACGTGGTCAAAGTAAGTCTTCTATTTCAAAAACCATTTCGAGGACACTTGATGGGCTGGGTTTTGAAGGTGACGAGTGTACATATTCAAGACGCTTCTGGCGCTGGTGCTAAGCTGTGTTTGTGATGCAGGCAGAGCACGAGGAGTGAGCTCAGGAGGAGACAGAAATAGTGGGGGTTTCTCCCACGCTGGTGCCCCTCGTCCCACGCACTTTTTCCCTGGGGCTGCCCCACGTTGCCAGTTTCACCCGGCCGCACGTGCAGGTGCCTTGCCGTGGGAGACCCAGGGGGTGAGTACAGGCTCTTCCCGAGACTCTGACCTGATGGTTTCACCTGCATTTTCTACTCCGTGTCCCCCACAAGCGTGAGCTCTGCTCCACAGACAAGCAGTGAGCTGGTAGGAGAAAGGGGATTGACACAGAATGGGTCTCCACAGAAGCCTTGATTGTGCCTTGATTGCACTGATGATCTATTTGTAGAAGACATTTTTATCTTGGCTCAAAAAGAATATATATCTTATGTAATGTGTATTATAGGCAAAGTTTCCTTAATGGCTTCTAGGGAATTAAAAGTGTTAGTGGCAGGACAGAAATACTGGGGTTAAATCACTTTACACCTGATGTAATAGTACCTGTTTGGTTTGGCCCCAGTCAGAGCTTGCCAGGGCGCCGTGTGTGACGAGTGTGGGGGGGCCCCTCTGCTGCCCGTGCTTCCCGGGAGTCCCGCTCTCTGGGCCGATGGGGTGTAACCTGATGTGCACCCTGGCCAACGGGGCATGTCCATCACTCAACTCCTCTCTGGGTGAGGCGCTGCGATTGGACTCAGCCAGTTCAGAGTGTCGAGAGTCCAGTGGCCAGGCAACTGTGCGTCAGCACAGAGGTCTCTGTTCGGTAATTGTTTCTCCGCACACCCTCTTAGAGTTCAGGACGACCTGAGTTGTGTCCTTGCCACTCTTGAGCACCTTCACGTCGAGGTAGAGGGACTTCATTGCTGGGTCGGAGCTGGGACTCTGCAAGGGCACGAGCACTCTGTGCTCTGACCAGGCGGGTCCGTGGGCCAGAGTCTGTCCTTCCCATCACCCGAACCTCCTCACAATTTGTTCGTTCCATCTGCATGCCACACTGTTCCCGCTGAAGAGGTCTTTCATCTTTTTGAAAATGAAAATACCTTTTTTAGCCTCATCCCAGCAGTAAGGGCTGTGAAACTGTATGTTTCCTCTGCTGGTTGTTTTCTGATACATAAAAAATGCGTAAGTATAAAGTTAAAATGTACTGCGTGCATTGCTGACTGAAATGGTCTTGTGCCCTCCTGGAAGTACCACATGTGTCTGCATTGTCCCGCGGAGATGGTGAGTGAGGAGCCTGGTGACCCGGGGAGGTGCTGAGGCCAAGTGCGTGAGGCTTGCCCGGCTCAGTCACTGCTCGGTGGGAATCCTCACCTCTCACCCCCCTACCCTGCCCCTTGGCACCCCCTTCAAAGGCCAGCACGGCTGCCTTCCAAAAACCCACTTGCTGTGTACGCCTTCTGCTAAGAGCAGGGACAGAAACCAGCGCTCAGCGATGCGTCAGTGCACGTGCCGCTGTGGACATGCTGTGGATCTTAGCCCCCTGCCTGCCCTCTGGCACCCTCTCCACCCACGCCGGCTCTCCGGCTCTCCCCCAGTTGCGTTCTGTATTTTCATCTCTGGATTTGCTTGGGAACCCCTGGACCCCACTCCGCTCACTGCCTTCTCCTCCATGGAGATGCGAGGCCTCCTCCGCGTGCTTGGGCGCTTTCCTTGTTGCCCAGCAGGGCATGCGCTCCGGAGAGGGGCACGTGCTCCTTGACCTCGCTGACAGCAGACAGCCTTGTCTGCAGGAGCCTCTGCTTGGGATTTTTGTGCTGCTTTACATGTTTATAGCAACTCTTCCTAGTCAGCAGCTAAGAGGATTCTCATGGACTTCTTCCCATAATTAATGCTGAGCTGTCTGCACCCATTAATGTCGGAACACATACAAACAAGGCGTGAGGTGGCACTGTGTTTGAAAATCCTGGATAGTTTCCTTATATTTCTAAAGGTATTCAGTGATGGTTTCCCTGAGGATTTGTGTGACAGAAATTAAGAATAGATACTTTTCAACATTCTGTATGAGATTCTCTTGTTCCCTTAGAAATTAGCAATTTTAAACTGAGACTAATCAATAATTATTACATGTTTTCTGAATAAAATTTAGTATTAGTTTTACTAATTAGTAAAAATTATTATCAGTTTAGCATCCAATTACAAATGGTGTCAGTTGCTGAGGTAAAGATAAGTAGTTTGGAGTGGACATGTGGCCTTCATTCTCACTGTGTTAGGTGTGAAATTCTGTGTCTTCTAAAAACAGAAATCCAGGGCGCCTGGGGGGCTCAGTGTTTGCCTTCGGCTCAGGTCATGATCCCAGGGTCATGGGATGGAGCCCTGCGTCGGGCTCTGTGCTCCGCGGGAGCCTGCTTCTCCCTTTCCCTCTGCCTACTTGTGCTCTCTTTCTCTGTGTCAAATAAATAAATAAAATTTTAAATAAAAATAAAAAAATTAAAACACAAATCAAAACTAAGTTGTCTCCTCCACAGTCCTGTATGTAACATGATAAGCCATTCTTGGGATTATCTGTTAATATTTTAATATTTTTATATCTAGGTTACTTTAATAATTTTTCACAATTTTCATCGGATTTTGAGGAATAAGTGTTGTTTTTCCAAGCTGTACTCACTCCACTTTTTAAAGGAGAAGAGAAAATTAATTTTAGATGCCGTGTTCTTCAAGCACGTGTAACTGACTTAGAATCGGGGCTGAGCCGTTGGGTCCCTCCTGCACCTGGTGCTGGTGGGAACCGTGGGGAGTGACTGCGTGGAGAGGACCTGGGGAGGGCGATGGGGGCCAGTCCCACTCCTCCTGCGCCAGGGCAGGTTTCTGAATTCGTGTAAGTGGGCAGGTGCATGTGCTCACATCAGGCAGCCGGGAGCTGAGTCCAGATACCAGTGCTTGCTCTGGGCCAACATGGACACCTGCACTGGGGAGTCCACCCATGCTCAGGCCACCTGCACCGGCGGGCCATGTCATTGTCCTTCTTCACTAGTGCCCACGTTGCTTTTCATAAACGTGCTGCCATATATCAGCTTCAGGCTAACTGGTCATCATGGTGTCACACTGCTCTTAACACCTATCTCTAATTCAAAACCAGCTTCTTCCCGTTTTAATAGTTTGTGAAAATTGTCCTGGCCGGTTTACCAAAAGCCTTAGCATAATTTATTGAGCTATTAAATTTACTTCCAGAAAATCAATGCAAACTGAAATATTTCACTCTGTAGTAGTTTTTCTCTTATCAACTGTTTGCAGTTATTTCATAATATGCCTTGAGAAATTTCCTTATTGATAAAGGAAAAAAAGACAAGTCAAGTTACAGCTTAGATTTGACCCTTGGTGAGTGAACAGTTCTTTTTTTTTTTTTTTTTTAAGATTTTATCCATTCATTTGACAGGAGTGGGAGCAGGAGAGGGAGAAGCAGACTCCCCACTGAACAGGGAGCCTGACACAGGGCTCGATCCCAGGATGCTGGGATCACAACCCAAGCTGAAGACAGACGCCCATCCAACTGAGCCACCCAGGTGCCCCTGAGTGAGCAACTCTTAATATCTGATCCATAATTCAGCTCACGTTTCATTTATCCCATTTATAAGTCACGCATAAGTAAGTTAAATGCATTTTTGGTCAGTTTTATGAGCTTACTTTCAGTAAAATGAAGACAGATTTGATGGAATTTTGAAGAGTTTACTTAAGAAGATTAACCAGGCACTTGGAAACAGCAAGCCGGCAATTTCAGAGAATCTTCTGCACCAGATTCCAGCCACACTCTGCCATAAACACTGGTCCTGTCTGTGAGTGAAGCCACATTGAGGGGGACGGGCACAGGCCATTACAGGCCCAGCGTTGCCTGGGCACGGCCTCCCTCCTGTGTGGGTGGTCACCTGGAGTGTAGGGACTCAGCCTGCTTTGCTCACTGCAGAGCCCCAGTACTAGTGCGAGGCCACCTCCATCATGGTGGAGTGAGGGCATGCTGTCAGAGCTCTGGCAGCCTAGGTCGGCGGCCGGTACAGACCCAGGGCCGGCTAACACAGAGCTGGTCTGTCCTTGCTGGGAGCTCAGGTGGTGTCTCCTGTGGATGTAACCTTCTTCCACCTCCTATTGCCTGCGGGCTCCCAGGCCCTCCCATAGCACTGGGAGAACAGACCGGGCCCCCCACCCCGGGAAGGACGGTGCCTCCGGGAACCAGAACGACGCCGTGGACAGCAGGGCGATGCGCTGGTGGCAGGGGCAGCCACGGGTTGAAGGGCTGTGTGCATTTTTCAGGATGTTTGTGAAAGCGGCAGCCGTCGAACTTTGCAAACATGTTAGCTGTGCTGTGTTCCTAAAGTAGGGACTCCTTGGGGGAAGTCCCCTCAGAAGCATCAAGTGTTTACGCCTTCACTTGGGCTGCAGGGGGCATGTACCTGAGGTCCACGTTCTTTCCTGCAGACGGCTGAGGCCTCTGCCATCGCTGGCGCATCACTCACTCTCTTCCGCTTCCACGTGCTGACTCGCTAATCGGATAGTTTTTATCGGAATCGCTTTGTAGTTAGAAGATAGTACGTGCTCGTGAAGGGAGCTGCACACCGCCGTGGGATGCTGTGAGCCGCCCCCTCCCCCTTCCTCCCCCTCCTCCCGCACAGGTGGGCAGGCCCCCCCCCGTGGCCCCACCTACCCCACGGGTGGCCACTGTTCATTTCTCAGGTATTCTTCAGGAAATGTTCTCTTCTGTACACAAGTGTGCGTGCCTATTTATACTTTTGTGGGGATGCACAGAATTTTAAGTCCCAGGTAGGACCATGCCATATGTTGGTCTGTGATATACCGAGAACGAGGCTTGGACTCCTTCCCAGACACGTGCACTCCTTGTCCTGTCCTGCGTTTTCCCAGATGCCCGCTGTTCACCTTCTGGGGGTGTCAGAGCTGGT